CCTCCACACCCAGCCCCCTGCAACCACAGCCTGCGCCATCTTATTACTTAGGCTAGGTTTAAAAGAGCCCACCTGCCGGAAGTCTTGAAATGTTTTCAAACACTAATTGCCATGTCCCGTGTTTGCAGCTTGTCCGTGAACTCCTGCAGGAGGCCAGATCTAGCGGTCCCTTCATGCATCTGTTTATTCAGCAGTTCCATGGAGCCCCACCTCCGTGTGAGCGTGCACAGCTCTCAGGACCCCCGATTGGGTCACGGAGCTCAGACCCATCCAGATACAGAGTTAAAGGTCTGAGCAACAGGCGGAAAGTCCAGAAATGTCACCAGGTCATGGCGCATTGCAGTTCTGGGTGGATGACACTGACAGAGACACTCTCAGAGGGGAGAGAGGGGCCACCTGTGCAGGCGTGGTCAGGCAGGCGCCCCCTGAAACAAGGGCCTTCTGGACACTGCCTTTTGCTTGATCCCCACTGTCTAATTCCTCAAACCAAAAAGAATATTCCACTTCCTCAACTTTCATCACACGAGTTCTCCCCTCATCCTCTTATCTTTTCTCTTTTTAATTTTCACATATTCACTGTCTTAAACTTATTCTCTAGGCTGTTGTGGCCTGTAGCCTGCTGGGCTTCCTACAAACCAAGTCCTTGACTGTGACCTTTCTCTGCTCCTCCCGGGAGGACCTGATGGCAATGCTGTGCAGAGCAGGTGCTCTGTAAATCTTTGTTAGGTAAATACCCGCTCAGGCATTATGGATGACAGCAGCAGTGAAAGGGAGAATTCCTGGTTAGGACCAAGGTCTCTAAATAGGTAGCTACTTGAGCTGTCCCTCTGTTTATATTCCTTGCTGGCTTGCTGTCTCTCAATTAGAATGACAGTGCAAAAGAGAAAAGACTTTTAGAGAACTGGAAGTTAAAGTGGCTTTGATTCAAATCGGGTTTAGATAAGACCCTAATTGCTTTAGTGTCCAAGTTATCTCTCTGCCTCTCCCTGAGCACGTGCGTGTGCTCGCTCTCTCACACACACGCTCTGTTTCTACCTTCACCCCCGTTCTGCTTTGCAGGACTTGGGACAGGATAGACCATTTTCTTGTTTTCCTGACACTTTATTTTACTTGAGAGAGGAGGCAGTAGAATCTTAAGAGAGGTCGGTGTCAGCCTTCGGTCTAGTCGGGTGAACTGAGTGGCGGATGTCCTCAGACTTACGTAGGGTAGCCCCACAAATGAAGGAAGGATTGGGAGCCTGCCCACCACATGTGGCTTTTCTTCCTCTTCGGTAGTTTTAGACGTCCCAGGAAAATGTAAGCAGCATCCAACTTCCCATGCACGCTCTAGACTGTGGCGTGGGGGACTCTTATCACATCCTCACGTGTCCTTTCCCAGCCTCTTTCTCATTTTAATTAAAGATGTGACCAGTCCATGGTGTAGCAGTTATGTCACTGGACTCCCACAGGGCTGACCATGGTTTGAGTCTCAGATCCAGTGACTTGAAACTCAAGTTGCATGCATGTGTGTGTGCAAAATCCCAAGAGGAGAATGGAGGAGAAGGGATTGTGCTGTGGTCATCCCCTCGGGGGGTGATTTCTCACTTTCCCTCTCATTGTCTCTGTTTTTCTCCCCCTCGCCCCACCCCCACAAGTGCACATACCCTAAGACGATTTAAAAAAAAAATCTAAACAAACAGACAAACCTGTGCATTCTCACTGCCCTCTGAAACTTTCCCTGAGTAGCTGTCAGGTCATGTTTAACCTGGCAAGAATGCTTAAAACAAGAACTTATTTATAAACAAAATACTTTACCAAATAAAATACTTGGAATGACTCAAACTGGAGCCCACCAAGAATGGTGAACATCTCAAGGACAGTGGGACTGAGCCTTTTCCTGCCAAACCTGAACATTTTGCAGATGGGCAGAAAATGACAGGAGCATAGAAGATTGCTCATAAAATACTGCGTGAGTTTGGACAAGTCATCCCACCTCTCTGTGCCTGAGCTTTTCATCTGTAAGGGCTCACGATGCTTCCCCTGCCATTCTTAGGGGTTGAAATGTTAAAATAACTCATATGGGCTTGAGTAAAACATTGATTATGGTGGCAAAGTGCTTTAAGACCTTGGGAAAACATTGACACCATGTTATTATCCTCTCCTCTATCTATTAGAATCAGTTTTCAGGGACATTTCATCTAGTCGATCGGCCAACAGCAGTAAGGTCAGTTCTATTTAAAATTAGGGCAGAGCATTAGGGACATTCAAATTAAAACTGCAATGAGATATTGCTACATGCCTATTAAAATGGCTAAAATAAAAAATAGTGACAACATCAAATGCTGGTGAGGATGTAGAGAAATTAGGTCACTCAAGATGTTGGTGATGAGAATGTAAAATAGTACAGCCACTCCGGGAAACAGTTTGAAAGTCTTTTGTAAAACTAGTCATGTAATTATAAGACCAAGAAATTGAACTGTTGGGCATTCGTCCCAAGAGAAATGGACATTTATGTTCATATAAAACCTGAATAGCAGCTTTATTGTAACAGTCAAAGACTAATATCAATCCAGACATTGGTGGTGACTAGTTAGTTAAAAAGGTGGTGGTATTGGGGGCCGGAAGGAGTCATGGTAGTTAAAGGCGCTGGATTCCCACATGGCCGACCACAGTTCAAGTCTGGGACCTGGTGGCTTGCTTTCTCACTTTCTCTCTCTCTCTGGTCAAATTAAAAAATAATAACAAATGGAATTTAATAAATATTTTTAAAAGAAAAGATGGTGGTACATTCATACCAAAGAATACTAGTCAACAATAAAAAGGGACTGACTGTTGATACAGAAGACAGCACTGGCAACTTCCAGGAATATGCTGAGTGAGAAAAGCCAATCCTGAAGGGTCGCCATGTAAATCTATATCTGTAACATCCTTGAAATGATAAAAATAATAGAAATGGACTAGCAGGTACTGAGGTGTTAAGGTGCTGGATACTCCCAGATGGCCAACCATGGTTCAAGTCCCCGACTTGGTGGCTTGCTTTCTCACTTTCTCTCTCTCTCTGGTCAAATTAAAATAAAATTAATAAATAATTATTTTTTAAAAATATAAAAATGGGGCCAGCAGGTGACATGAAGGTTCAGGGACTGCATCCCATGTGGCTGACTGCATGGTTCAAGTCACAAACCTGGTGGCTTGAGAATCACGCTAGGCCCATGGGCATGCATGCCAGAAAATCCCGAAAGGAGACTGGAGGAGATTTCCAGTGTGACCATGTCCCCTCAAGGGTGATTTCACTTTTCCTCTTGTCTTTCTCTTGTGAGTGCATGTTTACTATAGCAGAACAACAAAATTATTTAAGTGGAGAACAGATTAATGGCTGCCAGGAGTTATGGACATGGAGGGGGATGGGGAGGTACTGAAGGATGGTATATATGTTTACAAAAGAATAATACAAGAGCTAGGTGTCATGATGGATTTGTTCAGTGTCTTGACTGTGATAGATACATGAAACCACTAATATGGTATGATTGCATAGAACTGGTCCAGCCAATGGCATGGTGGTTAAGGCAACAGGATTCCATATGACCAACCCTGTGGGTTGAGCCCCAGACCCAACAGCTTGAAAAACACTTCAGGTGTATTAGCATGTGTTCTCAAAAATCCCCAAGGAGGGGCAAATGTAGGAGAATGGAAGAAAGGGAATTGTGCTTCGTAAAATGTGCTTTCTTCTCCTCCCCCACTCCATCCTGCCATGCTGTCTGCCCCTCCAGCTAGCGCATAGTCACTCTGGTTAAATTTTTTAATTTCATAAAAATAAGTATACACACACACACACACACACACACACACACACACACACACATAAAAGTAAAACTGAGAAAATCTGAACAAGATGGGCAGACAGCTGTCAATGTCAACACTCTATTGTGATATTGTGTTCTAGTTTTGCAGTTACCCTTGGAGGAAGCTGAAGAAAAGGGCACACAGGATCTCTTTATATTATTTCTTAGAGCTGTCTATTTGTAATGTCTTAGAATAAAACGTTTAGTTAAGAAAAACAATTTAAAAAGAGGTAGCGTTCAGAGTCAGGATGGTCAGTTTTTATTTTATCAGTGTTCAAGGTCTCAGTACAATCTATGTTAGAATTTAGGAACTGTCTCTGTTCCATTGTTCTGTTTCGGCCAGGTGGTCATGTCTGCAAAGCAGGAAGAAGGCTGATCGTATAAATAGAACATCCAAACAGCTAGAAATGACGTCGTGGAGTAAATGTTTGTGGTCTTTCCTCCTTACTAAGTCTTTATCATGTCTCCCTGGGCCATTAGAACCCATAAAATAAACAAAGCACTTATCTTCTGAGCAAGACCAGGGACTAGCAATAGGTCAGGTTCGAAGTGCTGACCTTCCTGGCCTGTGGCTGGGTCTGGATGCAGCCTTTGGGTGTGCAGCCTTGCCTGTGTGCTTGCTTGTGTTTGGAGCGCTCCTGAACTGGACAGGACATTGCCACCTGTACCTACCATGGCAGGAGTCCTGGACATCTTGGGGAGCCAGGTAGTTAACCAAGAGCTAAGTCTTGTTCTTCATCTTGATGGCAAGTGACTTGTTACCAGGAATTTGATGACTGGCTATTTAGTTCTGTTGGGGAAGGATTTTATTTTTCCTTTCTTTGTTTATTTTTTTTTTAGTTTTGCCATAGGGCATGTATGCTTGTGCACGCGTGCGAGAGAGAGAGAGAGGCAGGAGGTGGGGGTGGGGTGGGGTGAGAAAACACCTCCCAGGAGGATGACCACACCTCAATCCCTTCTGCATTCTTCTTGCAGGATTTGGGGCATGCACACACATGTACCCAGCATGTTTTTCAAGCTGCCAGTTCTGGGACTCAAAACTGCAGTCAACCATGTGGGATCCAGCTGCTCAACCACCATGCCAGCTGCTGGCCCGGGGAGGTTTTTTTTCTCGAGAGTTCATGTTAGAATTGTACAGTCAGATGACTTTGGTGCATGATGGCTCTCTCATCTTTGAAGTTGTAGGACAGTCCCATCTGGACAGCAATATTGAGGATCAAGAGATTGTCACTAATCCACCAGACATTTGCCAAGTTGTGGAGGTGACCACTGAGAGCGATGAGCAGCCGGTCAGCATGAGCGAGCTCTACCCTCTGCAGATTTCCCCCGTGTCTTCCTACGCAGGTAAGCAGGCCGGCGGGCAGCTTTGGGACTGAGCGACGAGCAGGGAAAGGCAGTCCTTCAGAGTAGGTTCATTCATTTCACCATATGAAAGAAAATATTTGAGAATTATTTTTGCCTTATTATTATTATTATTATTATTATTATTATTTTGACCAGATCTTGGAAGGACATTTCTGTTCTTAGGAGATATAATCACAGCATTTCTTTACTTGATGCCCTATAACATTTTTGCTTATGACTAAAAAATAAAAGGTTTCTTAGAAAGATTGTTGATCAATCTAATTTATTTATACAAGTTATCAGAATGTGGCAGGCAGTTTTGATGAATCTCAGTTTGAACAAGCTGGATAGACCTTAGAGATCATTTTGTCCAATCTTTTCATTTTGGGAAGTGAAGGGACTTGCCCAAGATCACATAGCCAGTAAGTGCTTAGGCCAGGTCTTTGACTCAGCCTTCAGATGCCGAGGTCATTGCTAGATCCATTCCAACTCACCGAGGTTACTTGTCACTCCTTGCCACTTCATGAGAAATGGAGAGAGACAGATTAGCACCCTCGACAGGGTCTCATGCCGAAACCCCTCCCCCAGCCTTCTCAGCTAGCCAGGATCACAGGAACCAAACCCTGATCTTCCATGTGGTTTCCAGCATTGCAGAGTGAGTGCTACTGCTGTGCTATCATGACTGGACCCATTTTCCCTTCCTTTTTTCTATTTGGTGCAATTTCTAATAGGGCTAGGAGCCTGAGTCCATTTCTAATTCCCCAGAGAACTGGCCGCATAATCGCGGGAACTGGTCCAGACGGAGTCACAGAATTAGAAACAGATTCACTTAGTTCTTTCATCCTGACAGAGTACGATGGCTCCTTTTCCCACCAGCATTACGTCATTTCATCGTCTCTCCCTGGCGATCTTCGTTTAAGTTTTTGGAACTCAGTCATAGTTGGGAAACATAAATCCTGAGTCGGTGTGACCGCTTGCAGATACTGAGAGTGGAAAGCAGAGGCCCTGTTGTGGGAAACGGCAGTTAGCTCCAGTGAATGGTCCAGGGACTCTGCCCAGCGTTCCTCTGTGCTGCCAAGTGGGGTGTCCTCCAGTCAGGGCCACCCTGTAACTGGCACGGAATCAGCATTAGAATTAGAGATGATTCAAATGACTGGTTGTTCTGTGAATTATCAACCTCTATGCTAACCTCCTATTTCCTGCATGCCAACTTTCTTTCTTCCCTTTTTTTTTAAATTGGAGGAAAGTACACATAGCATAAAATCAACCACATGAGCCATTGTTAACTGTACAGTTCCATGGCATTTAAGTCCATGGTGGGACAGCCATCACCAGTATCCCATTTCCAGGACTCTTTTCTTGTTCCAGAACTAAAACTATACCCACTAAACAGCTGCCCACTGGCCTGGACCCTGGTCCCTGGGAAACCCCAGACTACTTCCTGTCCCTGTGCATGTGGCTCTCATAGGTAGTCATACACGTAGAATCATACAGTATTGGTCCGTTTGTGACTGGCTTATTTCACTTTGTGTAAGGTCTCCAAGGTCCTCACTTGCTTTTATACTAGGAACATGAAAAGGATATGAGAATAAACCTTGGCCTAGGAAGCTTATAGCTTGGCAACCACCCCATGCCTGTCATCGTTTCTTTATTGAACATACTTTAAACTCCTGCATGTGTCAGTTCCTTTTCGGACTTTCCAGTCCCCAAGAATGACAACTACTGTTTGTTACATGGTTATTGTGTCCTGAAAGCCATGCCAAATACTCAGCACAGTTGAACTGTCGAATTATCATGAAAGTAGCTGTCCTGACAGAACAGTCTGAGTAACACCATGATCAACCTGCTTTGAAAAGGAGGAATCAGGGCTGACTCCACGGTCTGGCGGCTAAGGCATCTGGATACCAAGTCGCTGACTGTGTGGTTTGTGTCTTGGACCTGGTGACTTGAGGAACGCCCTTAGTACCTGTGAGTGTGTGTCCAAAATCTCAAAAGAAGGGAGAGCTGGAGAAGGGATTGTGGTGTGACCATTCTCCATGGGAGGCACTTGCTCTTCTTCCTCGCTCTCTTTACATGGACCCTCTGGCATAAATAAATAGATTGATGGCTAGGCAGGTGGCTACACAGGAATCTCAAGGCTGATGTGGGTAGTGTGCACGGGCATGAACAACTGGCACCACAATAGAACCCATGTGCAGCTGATACCAAAGGTTTCTTTTTGTTTGTCTGTCTTTTAATTGCCAAAGGGTATGTGTGCTCACCAGAGAGAGAGAAGAGAGGAGAAAGCACCTCCCAATGGGGTGTGGTCATGCCACAATCCCTTTTCCATTTTTCCTGTCAGGATTGTGAGCATGTATGCATAGGCACCTAGCATGTTTTTCTTGCTACTGGGACTGGGATTTGAACTGCATCAGACCATACAGGATCTGGCTTCCTTAACTACTAGGCTACAGACCAGCCCAAGACCTATTCTTACGCCCTCCTCTGCATTGCTGTCCCGGAAAGCTGCTCAGAGCTCTGCCATTCAGACCACATCCATATCCCATGATCTCGTTTGATTTTCACAAGGACCCACCAAAGGAGGTAGAGCAGAATATTCATGACTTCATTTTCAAGAGAGATAACTGAGCGTGGGACACTAAGCTACTTTGCTTATATTTACGTAGCGAAGACTGGAAATTTGTGACTTTCTTCTGTATCAGTTGTTGCAAGGATTATTACACTCTGTGTGCGAGGTTTTGTTTTCCTTGTTTTGTCAGGAGATTGAAACTTTTTTTTTTTGGAGAGGTTTTTTGCTATAGGGCACGTACGCTCGCCAGACAGACAGAGACATAGAGACAGAAAGCGAGAAATCACCATCCAGGGAGGAATGGCCATGCCGCAATCCCTTCTCCTCCATTCTCCTCTCAGGATCTTGGGCACGCACGCACACGCGCCCAGCGTGAGTTTTAAGCCACCGGGTCTGGGACGCGAATCGTGGTCACCTACGTGGGAGTCCAGCAACATAACCATTATGCCAACTGCTGGTCCCAGTATTCACTTTTATTTTTTAAGTCTTTCCTAGTAGAATAGTCTGTTTGCCTATTTTTCTTGACCTACTTCCTTTGCTCGAACTCTTCAACTGAATTTCAACCTCCTCTGACCCACTTCTTTTACTTGTTTAGCCAGTTGCCATTGAAAAGCTGTCTGCTGTTTCCCTACCAATCATTGAGATGTAATCCCAGTAGTATTAAGGAACTACATTCAGGCCCATCCTTTGTGGCACAGTTGGTAGCATACTGGGCTGTGGAGCTGGAAGCCACGTGCTGATCATGTTTTGAGTCCTCGGGTCAGTTGTCCTGCAACAGGCTGGGCAAGCATAGCGTGCCCATTATCCTGGCAACCTGGAGGGCTAGAGGTATCGCATACAGTATTGGTCCGTTTGTGACTGGCTTATTTCACTTTGTGTAAGGTCTCCAAGGTCCTCACTTGCTTTTATACTAGGAACCTGAAAAGGATATGAGAATAAACCTTGGCCTAGGAAGCTTATAGCTTGGCAACCACCCCATGCCTGTCATCGTTTCTTTATTGAACATACTTTAAACTCCTGCATGTGTCAGTTCCTTTTCGGACTTTCCAGTCCCCAAGAATGACAACTACTGTTTGTTACATGGTTATTGTGTCCTGAAAGCCATGCCAAATACTCAGCACAGTTGAACTGTCGAATTATCATGAAAGTAGCTGTCCTGACAGAACAGTCTGAGTAACACCATGATCAACCTGCTTTGAAAAGGAGGAATCAGGGCTGACTCCACGGTCTGGCGGCTAAGGCATCTGGATACCAAGTCGCTGACTGTGTGGTTTGTGTCTTGGACCTGGTGACTTGAGGAACACCCTTAGTACCTGTGAGTGTGTGTCCAAAATCTCAAAAGAAGGGAGAGCTGGAGAAGGGATTGTGGTGTGACCATTCTCCATGGGAGGCACTTGCTCTTCTTCCTCGCTCTCTTTACATGGACCCTCTGGCATAAATAAATAGATTGATGGCTAGGCAGGTGGCTACACAGGAATCTCAAGGCTGATGTGGGTAGTGTGCACGGGCATGAACAACTGGCACCACAATAGAACCCATGTGCAGCTGATACCAAAGGTTTCTTTTTGTTTGTCTGTCTTTTAATTGCCAAAGGGTATGTGTGCTCACCAGAGAGAGAGAAGAGAGGAGAAAGCACCTCCCAATGGGGTGTGGTCATGCCACAATCCCTTTTCCATTTTTCCTGTCAGGATTGTGAGCATGTATGCATAGGCACCTAGCATGTTTTTCTTGCTACTGGGACTGGGATTTGAACTGCATCAGACCATACAGGATCTGGCTTCCTTAACTACTAGGCTACAGACCAGCCCAAGACCTATTCTTACGCCCTCCTCTGCATTGCTGTCCCGGAAAGCTGCTCAGAGCTCTGCCATTCAGACCACATCCATATCCCATGATCTCGTTTGATTTTCACAAGGACCCACCAAAGGAGGTAGAGCAGAATATTCATGACTTCATTTTCAAGAGAGATAACTGAGCGTGGGACACTAAGCTACTTTGCTTATATTTACGTAGCGAAGACTGGAAATTTGTGACTTTCTTCTGTATCAGTTGTTGCAAGGATTATTACACTCTGTGTGCGAGGTTTTGTTTTCCTTGTTTTGTCAGGAGATTGAAACTTTTTTTTTTTGGAGAGGTTTTTTGCTATAGGGCACGTACGCTCGCCAGACAGACAGAGACATAGAGACAGAAAGCGAGAAATCACCATCCAGGGAGGAATGGCCATGCCGCAATCCCTTCTCCTCCATTCTCCTCTCAGGATCTTGGGCACGCACGCACACGCGCCCAGCGTGAGTTTTAAGCCACCGGGTCTGGGACGCGAATCGTGGTCACCTACGTGGGAGTCCAGCAACATAACCATTATGCCAACTGCTGGTCCCAGTATTCACTTTTATTTTTTAAGTCTTTCCTAGTAGAATAGTCTGTTTGCCTA